AATAACTTCCAACTTCACTAAAATAAATACTGGCAGACTTATCAAAACAATAGCTTACTTAAAGAATAGCTCACTACAAACCTGCTCCTCTTCCTCTGCTTCATGCCTCTCCTGTCCCTGCCTAAACCCGCAGTGTCTTCATCCCCATCGTCCTGGTTGAAACCGCTGTAAATCAGCTAGCATCCGTTGGTCCACTCCAAATCTGTCGCACATTCAGGGTCCCACTCTTTGGCAGTATTCCCCGCTGGGTCCCCCCGCTGCTACACTAGTAGTGTTTAACCTCTCCCTGTCCTCCGAGCTCCCAGTCCAGGTACAGTCAGCTAATAGGACTAGCTACTGGTAGCTAGTACAGTTAGCATATGCAACAGTGCACCAGTAAGAAACTCTGTGTTACAAGAGAAAAGGTCTGTGTTCCAACAATCCTCTGATACTTTGGGCCCGGTGACAAGGTGCAGCTCGACTAATGATTAAGTTGACTATAAGGTGGCAGTCCTACTATGGAGACCCGCTTTTTTGTTTGTTTGTTTAAATTTCTGCACAATTGGCACCACTTTAGGTATGTCAAATTAGCACCTAAAAAAATATCTCTGTCTTCTGAAACCTGTTCCGATTGGAGTGGGTTATGGCTCAGAGAGGGAGTTTTTGACTCTAATTCCCCTCACACTGCCCCATGCCTCTCCCGCACACCCCTGTTGATGCTTTCTGTTTTGGCTTTGTCCTGCTGAATGTCCATGTCTATTACAGACCTTATCCCACAATTTCCCAATGGGAACAATGAATTAAATCACAGAGGAGTAATCAGCGTAACGTTAATCCTGTCCTGTCATTTGGTTGGGGACTCCCTGGAACCTCCTAAATCTCCCCAGGGTCCACAGATGACGGCGCTAAGAACTAAATACCTTCAATGTAAAACAAATGAACTTGAAGTGAACTTTGCCTCAAAATCCCTCAATTATCCTCAACACGTATGATTCACACTACACTGGCTCGGCTACTGACGTGCTGCTGCATTAGTATTCCTGCATAACTAAACCTTTTTTCCACCGTTGTTTGTCAGAAGCCCGCTCTTCAGAATGACTTGGAGATCTTGCATAGGAGCAGAAAGGAATGAGATGTCTGCGCTCTGTGTGTGTCAAGCCTGACTGAGTCATGTGTTAACAACAAACGAAAAGAGAAGGAGGGGGAGAAAAAAATGTGTAAAAGTGTTTGTCAGGAGTTATGAGGCTTCGATCTCCCGACACTACAAGCCTCAATAAATCGGCTCAGTGATTTAAAAGCCATGTAGACTATTGTACCAGCAAATGGAATCATATTTCGTCTGTATAGCGGAATAAATAGGAAGTATCTGAATGTTAGCCTTGGTGCAGCTTCATAGTGCCATGGCTGTGTGAACTGACAGATCAGGATTATTTTGAGGCATGTTGCAAAGGTGAAAGGTTCACTGTAAACGCACAGATGTAGATCAGTCTACAGAACCTTATCGTATCCCTCATAAGGAATTGTTATGACTGTCACACGTAGGTATCTATACATCAGCCATATATCAGCTCCAGTATCAGTGGGTGAAGGACACCACTGTTTGCACTTATACTCTGTCTCATTACTCTTCAGTGCCATCTTCTCTTGGCTATCTTACAGCATGTTTCCTTATCTGGCATGGCGTACTCGTCTCTGTGTTTATGTATGCATCAGTAGTTTTCGAGGGCTTGTTACCGTTCAGCACCTTATGCGGCTGGGAGATGTCACCTCCAGTGCTTAGCTGCAGAGACAAACAGGAAGTGACATGTTGAACTCCCCATTCCCTTCTGTAATGGAAATTCACAAATCGACAAAGAACTTTTTTGAACAAAAGCGGCAGCATCTGTCAGTGCCGAGAACAGTCGTCCTAATTAAAACTGCTATTATCCAGATGATCATAAACAGGGTAAAAGCCATAACAGATTTTTCTAATATCCACAAGCAGTCTGTTCATCAAAGTGTGGCAAACACTGAAAATTCAAATTATTGCAGTTTATGTTGGTCTGAAATGAAATTGCATGTAGTTTTTCTGCTACAGCAAACAGATCGTTCAATTAAACACCCTGCGCTCTCCTTTGAGGAAAATAAAAAGTAACCAAAAGGGTGAAATTTTTGTTTCATAGTCAGACAGCAGCCATGACACAACAGAGAAAGAGCCACAAACTTTGTATAATATTAGCTTTCCGGCTAAAGTTATTTACTTATCTACAATCACGAGGCCTCTCGTTACAGAGTACATCAAGTTCGAGCTCCGTTATGGGGAGGGAGTACATTTAATTAGAAACTGGCACAACCGCGTTCATGCCAACATCACCAGTTCAGTCAGTTTGAGCAGAGAAACTTTCCACTTT